GAGAGAGTTCCTATAAACATGTCAGGATAGTGGCTGCTGATAAGTATAACCCGATACTATTTGTATTGAAGAAACAAACATTCTTTTTTTCTTGGAAAATGCATTTCTAAATAGTTTTGAAAGGATAATAAGAAGAAAAATACTCATTTCAGTCCCGTGATTAGCAGCTCTTGTCCAAGTATACACCTCTTATTCCTGTGCTCTTCAAGATAACAGTACATGGTGGTCGCCTAATGGCTAATGCCCCTTATTTACCAAGGTTCCAAAATTTTGAGATGGATATATTATAATTTTTTTTTCATTATAGTAATGAATATTTTATTAAAAATAAAATAATGAGAAATTTGAAAATGAAATTCAACCCAACAATCAATCTTCAGTTCCACAAATTGAAATCGAATACATCTCTTCCCAATATTACTCACTTCTTGAAAATCCCATAGACTTCTAGATTATAGTCATAGAATTAAATCTCTCACTTAGAAATTTCGATCAAAGCATCAATTTGAATAAAATATTATCTTGTCTTATTATGAGTCTTGAATTGGCTTTAATATTTTGACTTAATTTGTGAGCTATAAGGTGAGTTTTATCTTTAATACTATTTATTTGTTTAATACATGATAATCTTTTGTATTTTGCACGCACAATTAAACATAATTCTATTTTACATGGTTAATTATTTAATGCCTGACACTTTATTGAATTGTAATTTTCTCCAACTACGGAGCCGATGAAATAGACAAAGAAAAGGCCATTATTCTGAATTCTTTAACAAATTAGTTAGGCCATAAGTTCATTTATGATTTATTATTATTATTAAAGAAAAGGCCATTATTCTGAATTCTTTAACAAATTAGTGAGGCCAAAAGTTGATTTATTATTATTATTATTATTATTAGTATTATTAGTATTATTTATTATTTTTTTAATGGACTGCAGTTTAGGTATATTTATGGGAGGAGTTGGGNGTTGATTTATTATTATTATTATTAGTTTTATTTATTTATTATTATTTTTTTAATGGACTGCAGTTTAGGTATATTTATGGGAGGAGTTGGGCTCTGTTTGACCTTCTTAAAAAGTAAAAAAACATTGTTTTGAATAACATTTTTTGGAGAATGTGTGGTTAAAAAGTAAGAAATTTTTTTAATTTATCTGTTGAATATTTTATTATGTAAATGTGTGGTTAAAAATGAGAGTGATAAATAAATTAAATTAAAGTAAAGGAGTTGAAACAAGGGCTAGAATAAAGGTTAGCCTATCATTGATTGGATTGATTGGGATTAAAAGATTATTTACATTGGATTGATTATTTTGGCAAACTCATCACGGAATTGGGAATTGAAGAAAAATCATGATCTTTGTCACGCGTTTTATACAACGTGAAAAATGCCGCAAGTGTACGTTGTCAAGTTTTGTAATATAGTATGAAAGTTAGGATGTCGAACCCACATCGATTGTAATTTAATTCCACTAAGTACTATAATTATGCAACTTCTATTTTATCTAGATAATTGATGAATGATTGGTTGATTGTTTTAAACTAAAGTAATGAAA